AAGTTCGATCTCCCGTACCTATTTAGATCACCTTCAATCGCAACCGAATAAATACCGTCAAGGTCGTCATGACGTTTTACAATGGCGCGGTACTTGTGGCTTTCCCTTTTCAACATGATGCAGCCCAACATAATGAAGATCCATCAAGAGTACCAATTGGGCCAATCACAAGGCCCAAGTCCAAACGATTAAGACAACTCTTCATTGGTGATATTCAAAGATGGTGGAAATCCAAGTCAAGCCCATTTGCAAAAGATGAAGAAGTATTCAAGGCTTTTTTATAATTGTTTAAGTGCTGATTTTGGAGATTAAGTTAGGCCCAAATAAGCATTATTATTTTTAGTCATCATTATTTTTAATTGTTTGGCATTAAATAGAAAACACTAGTTTGTATTTAGAAAGGATTCCTTAAATCCCTTTCTAATAGAACTATATTTATTTGCTTTCTAGATTAGGTTTGGGACTCTTATTCCCATTGTATTTAGGATTACAATGCTGCCATATACCTATAAATAGGGCACATCCATATTAGTTTTGGGGAGGCTTTAATTCAATAAAATTCTTAAGTTTTTCTTTACACTTGTGTAAGAAACCTTATGGCTAATTGTGGACTCAATTAGTGGCTAGTCGTGGACTCGACTAGCAAATTGATTCGTGGACTTGAATCAATCTTACTTTCTTTAACCTTAGATTTAGGTTCGTGGACTCGTTCTTGAATCGAAGGAAACTAGATCCGACTCTAGTTGATTGAAGATTGCATCATCGAGGTACTTGAAGCTACAATGGGATTCTTCCAAGTCTTTGAGGATTCGAGACAAAGGGTTTCTCGTGAGGTTTAAGGTATTTTAATCCATCTCTATCTTTGCATTGAGAGTATTCTTGGGACAATACTCCATCTTATTTGAATCTTGGATTAGGTTCATATCAATTTGGTATTCAGAGCCTAGGTTTATCTCATTATCATTAGAAATTTGGTTTCTTTGGTTCCCTAGGTTTATCTCATTCTTATCTTACATACTACTTTTATTTGTGTCTTATTCATTAAAAACCCCCAAAAAAATTTCCTTTGCATTCTTGATTATTTTCTTGAATCTTGATACATGTTCTTTAGTTTCTTGAAAACAATCCCGAAATAGTTTTCCATTTTTCCCGTCCAATATCAACGAGACCTCACACCTCCTAAGCAAAATATTACCATAACTTCTGTCCAGAAAACAACCCCATCTCACCCATACCTATATCCAAAGCGCATTTACGCGCAATCACGTCTCAATCATACCCTGTCCAGATTTCTGCATTCTGTGACCAGTTTCAAAGAATGACCTATATCTCGAGATCCACTGGTTAGTTTTATATGAAATTTTGATATGTTTTAGACCTCTTCCGGAGCGTTCTATTGATATTTCATACACTTGCTAATTCATTACGCTCATTGAGATATTGATCTTCGAAGTAAGGACAACGTTTCTGTTTTTCTGGGTGATTCTTGAAATTCTTGGTTCTATTTTGAAGGGGTTGTGTGGATCCTCTTGGTCCGAAATTTTTGTTGATATTTACAGTATTTATTTGGAGTTTACTTATCAAAAAAATCAAAAAAAAAATCAAGAAAGTTGAAAAAAAAAAAAGAAAAAAAAAAGAGAAAGCAATAAAGAAAAAGTATAAGGTTGGAAGGAGTTCTTAATATATTTTTATTTGGTTGTGGTATACTTGAACCCCTCTTACATTCTATTTGTCTTTATCTGTTGATATTGGTCTTGCATATCTTTCTGTCATACTTCCTTCTTTGGTTTCCTTTTTCTTTCAAATCTTGTTTAGTTTCTTTGCTTGTATTGTCCTTTTTCTTTGCTTCTTGCTCTCAATTTTATTACCTACCTCGCGATACACCCTTACTCTCAATGGCTTGTGAAGTCTTCCAAGGTACATTTTCTTAAACTTTGAGGTTGAATCTGTTGAGATTAATAAGAACAAGAAAAATAATAATGGCAGTAAAGGATAAAGAAGACAAGATTTACGTGGTTCGGCAATGTGCCTACATCCACGGGAGTGAAAGTATTCTCTTATTATTTGTGATGGTGTACTAGGTGATGAGATACATTGATTATATTTATAGGCATATAATCTCCCTTTCACTCATATTCCTTATATGAGACAAACTCATATTCCTAATCCTTATATGAGACAAACACAACAAATCTCCACCTTGGCGAATATGCTCTCTAGGAGAAAAAGATAACTCAACAAATCTCCACCTTGGCGAATAAGCCCTTTAGGAGAAAATACTTATCTAACCATCTCCACCTTCGCAAATAAGCCCTTTAGGAGAAAAAACTCATCTCATAGTCTCCCTGGATTAGGACCACCATGTTCATTTAACATCTAGAAACACCCAACAAGTCCAAACAATGTTTGAACTTGTCACTAGTAACTACCTTTGTCAACATGTCTGTTGCATTCTCACTTGTATGAATTTTCTGCAACAAAATCTCACCAGAAGCAACCAACTCTCTGACCTTATGAAACCTTACATCAATATGTTTGGTTCTGGCATGGTATACTTGATTTTTAGCTAAGAAAATGGCACTTTGATTGTCACAGTGTAATTGAACTCCATCTTGCTCAATACCCAACTCCTTAATCAAACCTGAAAACCACAAAGCCTCTTTAGCTGCCTCAGTCACAGCCATGTATTCTGCTTCAGTTGTAGACAAAGCTACAATAGACTGAACTGATGATCTCCAGCAAATAGGACCACCCCCAAGAGTAAAAACATACCCTGTTGTAGAACGTCTATTATCCATGTCACCAGCATAATCAGAATCCACATATCCCATGAGTACATGCTCATTCTGTTGACTTCCAAATACAATGCCATGCTCCATAGTGCCCCTTAAGTACCGGAGAATCCATTTAACTGCTTCCCAATGCTGCTTCCCAGGTTTAGACATGTACTTACTAACTTGGCTAACAGCATGAGCCAAATCAGGTCGAGTACAAACCATTACATACATTAAACAGCCAACTGCACTAGCATAAGGAACCTTTGCCATATTTTCAATCTCACTAACTGTTTGGGGACACTGACTGGATGAGAATTTAAAATGATTAGCCAAAGGGGTACTAACCGGTTTAGACTTACTCATCCCAAACCTGTCAAGAATTTTCTCTATATAACTCTGTTGAGTTAGCCACAACTTTCTTGCACCTCTATCCCTGTGAATTTCCATGCCAAGAATTTTCTGTGCAACTCCTAAGTCTTTCATATCAAATTCCTGACCCAACAACACTTTCAATGCAGTAATATCATTCATACTCTTAGCAGCAATCAGCATATCATCCACATACAGTAACAGAAAAATAAAAGAACCATCACCAAGGCTTTTAACATAGACACAACAATCATACTCACAACGAGTATAGCCAATTTGAATCATGTAAGCATCGAACCGCTTGTACCACTGCCGTGGAGCCTGTTTCAGCCCATACAAAGACCTCTTGAGTCGACAAACCAGATGGTCACCTCCGGTTTTAACAAACCCTTCAGGTTGCTTCATGTAAATTTGCTCATCTAGATCACCATGTAGAAAAGCAGTTTTCACATCCAATTGTTCCAAATGTAAATCCCAAATGGCTACCAAAGCAAGTACTAATCTGATAGAAGTATGTCTAACAACAGGAGAGAAAATCTCATCATAATCTATCCACTTCTGTTGAGAAAACCCCTTCGCAACTAACCTAGCCTTAAACCTTTCCCCTTCTTTTTCTGATACTGGTGGCTTCTTCCTATAGACCCACTTGCACCCTATAGCCTTCTTTCCTTGAGGAAGTTGAGCTAACTCCCAAGTATGATTATGATGTAAAGACTCCATCTCCTCAATCATACCTGCCATCCATTTATCTTTCTCCTGGCTAGAAATAGCCTCTTGAAAGGTAACTGGATCATTATTAGAAACAAGAAGTGCAAAAGAAACCATATCCTCAAACCCATACCTACTAGGTGGTTTGACATTGGTGCGTCTCGGTCTATCTCCAGCCAAACTGTAATCTTGTAAATTTTCTGAACCCGAACCTGCTGCAGATGTAGAATCTGCAACTTCTTGAGTCTCAACCGTAGGTGGATTAACTACTTTCTCACTCAAAGGTACACGATCCATATCCACTTCTACTGTGCTAGAACCATCAACTAGTTTATCTTCTTTCTTTGACTGGAACATGAAATTCTCATCAAACACTACATCTCTGCTAATCACCACCTTTTTGGTTGCAGGATCCCAAAACTTATATCCTTTTACACCTTTCTTATAACCCAAAAAGATGCACTTCTTCGACTTGGGATCTAACTTTGATCTCTCATCACCTGGAATAAGAACATAGCTAGGACAACCAAAAACTCGTAAGTGATCAAAACTTACAGGATTACCTAACCAAACCTCCTCAGGAACCTTGCCACCAAGTGATGTCCGTGGTGATCTATTGATCAAGTAACATGCCATGTTCACTGCTTCTGCCCAAAAACACTTAGAGAGCCCAGCATTCAATCTGAGACACCTTGCTCTCTCAGCAATGGTTCTATTCAGCCGCTCAGCAACACCATTCTGTTGTGGTGTCTTACGCACTGTATAGTGCCTTTGAATTCCATGTTCGGCACAGAATTTCTGAAATTCTTTCTCAGTATATTCTGTCCCGTTGTCAAACCTCAGGTACTTGATTTTTCTTCCAGTCTAGTTCTCAACCTCGGCTTTCCACAACTTAAATTTCTCAAACACTTCAGATTTATGTTTCAAGAAATACATCCAGACTTTCCTAGAAAAATCGTCAGTAAATGTAACATAATATCGAGAGCCACCCATTGAAGGTTCCCTGGTAGGTCCCCAAACATCAGAATGCACATAATCCAGAATCCCTTTAGTTTTATGCTGCCCAGTAGAAAAACTGACTCTAGTCTGTTTCCCAAGGACACAGAACTCACAGAAATCTAGCTTACAACATTTAACTCCTTTTAACAAATTCCTTTTGTGCAAATCAAACAGACCACGTTCACCAAGGTGACCCAAACGTAAATGCCACAACCTAGTAGTATCATCACTAGACTCAACAGAATGTGCTCCACCTACAACAGTACTACCCAACAACCTATAAATGTTCCCTGTGGTCCTTTTCCCTTTCATCACAGTTAAAGCACCCTTACTAATTTTAATGGTTTCCTTATCACTCTCAGACTTATGAATAAAACCATTAGCATGCAAACTGGCAAGAGAAATCAGGTTCTTAGTTAATCCCGGTATATGTCTGACATCATGCAAAGTTCTGGCAATACCATCATACATCTGGATGTTAACATCACCAATACCTATGATATTATGACATCTATCATCACCCAGAAAAACAGAACCGAAAGTACCTGACTTATAGGTCGTGAACCACTCCCTGTTAGGTGTAATATGATAAGAGCATCCTGAGTCTAGAATCCAAGCATCTGATAACTTACTCGATGAAACTGCTAGAACATCACCTTCACTATAATCAGATTCATCAGCATGTACCACGTCCGTAGCTTCCTGCTTCTTCAACTCCTTCCAATCAGCCTCTTCCAGATCAGCTGGCTTTTCCGCCTTCAAGGTTTTCAGAAGGCCTTGTTGTGCCAACAAATCTTTTACCCTAGATTGCCATAACCCAAAATTCCCTGTACCATCAAACTTTGATACCTCAAATTTTGTACTTGAACGGACCATCTAAGCAATGCTCTGATACCAATTTGTTGATATTAATAAGAACAAGAAAAATAATAATGGTAGTAAAGGATAAAGAAGACAAGATTTACGTGGTTCGGCAATGTGCCTACATCCACGGGAGTGAAAGTATTCTCTTATTATTTGTGATGGTGTACTAGGTGATGAGATACATTGATTATATTTATAAGCATATAATCTCCCTTTCACTCCTATTCCTTATATGAGACAAACTCATATTCCTAATCCTTATATGAGACACACACAACAGAATCCATATCAACTGGAATACCGGACTAGAATTTTCCTTTTTGGAAAAAGGCTTGTGAGAGTATCTGCCACCTTGAGCGATACACGAGTGGAGTGTGTGTTTGTAAGAGTGTGTAGTGCACCCCCGAAAGCCATATAATCCACCTCTTACTTGCGAGCTGAGAATAGTGAGGGAGCGAGCCAACTTTTGGTTTCACTAACGTGACTACTCACACATCTTCTTGTTTTTAGATATTTTTTCTCCTTTACAGATGGCTCAACAAGTTCCAAACTTGCCGCAGAAATTAGAACAAAAAATAGACGGGTTACTCAAACGAATGAATAATTTGGAGCAACGCTCACAGCAAGTGCAACCACCACACAATGATGAGTGACACCTGCCACCAGTAGGAAGAGTGGATCCTTGATGTCTAAGAATCCAACAGCGTAATACGGAGTTAGGAAACATTAAACATGAAATTTCTAACTTCACCGGTGAGAAAGGACCTACCGAATACATAGAATGGGAGAATGCTATTGAAACTCTTTTTTATTTAAAGCACTATTCTGATCTTATAAAAATTAGGCTAGTTGCTAAATCTTTTAAGGGGTATGCAGTATCTTGGTGGCGAAAAAGAAATAGAGAGAGAGTTGCGAATTTTATTCCCTATGAATCCTGGGTTCAAGTGAGGGAAGATATGCGCCTAACCTTTCGTCCTAAATCTTTTTTCTATGATCTTGAAAGAAAATTGCAGGGAACCATGCAAGGAACAATGTCAGTTGATGAGTACCACCAAACTATAAATATTTTGCTTGAACAGGGAAACGTACATGAAGAAGAGGCAAAATCTATTGCTCGTTTCATACATGGATTGAACTTAGAAATTCAATGTGGAATGAGTATTCAGAGGTATGACACCCTTTATGATGCCTTTTATGCTGCACGTGCATCTGAGGCAAAAATCAAAGAGATGAAAATGTACAAGGCCAACAATGGTGCATCAAAATGGAACAACACTTGTTCCACCTCTCAAAGGCGTGATGAACGTCCTCTTCCAAGAGATGATTCACGAGACAAAGGTAAAGAAAAGGTAAGTGAGGCAGTGAAGCTTCAACGTGATAGAGAATTGATTTGTTATAGATGTAATGGGAGAGGCCACATAGCTCGTGATTGCCCTAACAAGAGGGTAGTTAAGATAACAACACAATCTGAAAATTTTACTTCTTGTCTTGAATATAAATCTGAGGATGAGGTTTGTGACCATTTTGAAACCCCCAATGAACATGTTGAGAGAGAACCATTCATACCTTTAGATTCTGATTCTAAATATGTTGATAGTGAGTCTAGTCATACTGTTGATGTTAAGGAGGTTTTGAATGTTCACCTTTTAAAAGAAGATCAATCTCAAAGAGAAAATATATTTTGTGCTAAAGGGTCAATTAGAGAGAATGTGTGTGCTATGGTAATAGATTCTAGAAGTTGCACAAATGTGGCTAGTGCAACTATGGTTAAATTTCTTCAGTTACATTTGCTTAATCATCCAAATCCTTATTGTTTGCAATGGTTAACTGATGCAGGAGAAGTTAGAGTAACCAAACAGACTCTTATTCCTTTATCTATTAATAGTTACTCTGATGAAATCTTGTGTGATAATATCCCAATGCAGGCTGCTCATATCTTGTTAGGTAGACCATGGCAATTTGACAGAAAAATAAGTTATGATGGAATGAGGAACACTTATGTGTTTCACATGAATGGAGTTACATATGTCTTGCCTCGTTTGTATCCTAAACAAGTAGAAGAAATTCAATTGACATTGATGCAAGCTCTCAAACCAGCATCAAAGGAAGAAATCAAAGAGAGAAAAGTGGAACCTCCGTGTTTAGAATTGCAATCACCACTCCAATCTTCTAACTCAGTTTGTAGCCAAACAAATGGACCACAATTAGTGATACAGTGGAAAGGACCAGCCCAAGGTGTCAAAGTGCAACCTCTCTTGGTAACTACAAAGGATATTAAGCAAGAGAAAAGAAGGGGATTAACTATTTACTCACTTTTATTTCAAAAGCATGCATTGAAATTCTCTAGATTTGTTTGCCATGTTTCTATTAATGACCTACTTGCTAGATGTGTTAGAAATTTTTTTGCATCCATACATCCGAGATTCCTTAATTTTGATTTTACTAAAACTTTATTTGACAGAGATAAGGAATCACTGGGAAGTTATAAGGCACATTTGAAAACTTCTTATGTGAAATACTACTTGCTCAAGGGGTTTTCGTTCAAAGTCAATGGGATTGGCACTTTTTGCTTGGATTTGAGCAATGGTTTAATTATTGATTCACATAAGGGACAATTTGATTTTCCAAAGAGTGATGATGTTTTGCATGGATATTTTCATTGGCCAAAGAAGAAAAAAGATGTAGAATCTTATGTTCATAATTGTGCTACTTACCACCACAATGCATCTAAATCATTACTTGATATTTCCATGGATTTTGTGTTTGGTTTAGCCTTAAGCTCTAAGCGGAAAGATCTTGTACTTGTTGATAATTCAAACAAGATGGCTAAATTTAATATGTCTCATTTTGTTGAACTATTACCATTAAAAATGTTTAAATTTCATGCTGTGTCATTAGACTTAATTCCCTTACTTGTTGATTGTAGGATGATAATTGGAGCTACTCGTGTCAAGCATCCCAAGAAAAAGTTTCATGAGGGTGATAAAACACAAAGTGAGCTTGCTAATTTGTCTTTCATTGAAGATTTGGATTCGAGGACGAATCCTTTTCAAGAAGGGGAGAATAATAAGAACCAGTACACATGGAATCCAATAAGGGTCTATAGTGGGCTCATCACAAGGCCCATAACTACATCCTTAAAGAATCATTGGTGGAAGAAACAAGAAGGACCAATAATAATTCCATTCGATAGAGGAAAGTATTATAGTGGTCCATTTCAAGTGATATCATGGATCGAAGACAATGCTTACAAGATTTGAGGTCGAATCATTTTCAAGAAGGGGAGGATGATGCGGCCCAACATAATGAAGATCCATCAAGAGTACCAATTGGGCCAATCACAAGGCCCAAGTCCAAACGATTAAGACAACTCTTCATTGGTGATATTCAAAGATGGTGGAAATCCAAGTCAAACCCATTTGCAAAAGATGAAGAAGAATTCAAGGCTTTTTTATAATTGTTTAAGTGCTGATTTTGGAGATTAAATTAGGCCCAAATAAGCATTATTATTTTTAGTCATCATTATTTTTCATTGTTTGGCATTAAATAGAAAACACTAGTTTGTATTTAGAAAGGATTCCTTAAATCCCTTTCTAATAGATCTATATTTACTTGCTTTCAAGATTAGGCTTAGGACTCTTATTCCCATTGTATTTAGGATTACAATGCTGCCCTATACCTATAAATAGGGCACATCCATATCAGTTTTGGGGAGGCTTTAATTCAATAAAATTCTTAAGTTTTTCTTTACACTTGTGTAAGAAACCTTATGGCTAATTGTGGACTCAATTAGTGGCTAGTCGTGGACTCGACTAGCAAATTGATTCGTGGACTCGAATCAATCTTACTTTCTTCAACCTTAGATTTAGGTTCGTGGACTCGTTCTTGAATCGAAGGAAACTAGATCCGACTCTAGTTGATTGAAGATTGCATCATCGAGGTACTTGAAGCTACAATGGGATTCTTCCAAGTCTTTGAGGATTCGAGACAAAGGGTTTCTTGTGAGGTTTAAGGTATTTTGATCCATCTCTATCTTTGCATTGAGAGTATTCTTGGGACAATACTCCATCTTATTTGAATCTTGGATTAGGTTCATATCGCAACATCTCATCGAGAATATTATGTGGCCATTGCAACCCCCCTTGTTGCATTACCAGTCTAGCTGTACGCCTCTCGGCGAACATTAAAGCAGCTTTTTCATACGTTAGCTTCACTATAGACGAGACGGGCAGAAGACGACAACGCTTTAGACTGTTGTTGAAAGATTCCGAGCTGTTGGTCGTCATCAATCCATGTCTAAATCCCCCATCGTGACTTAGGGCCCAAAACCGGGCAGGGATTGCCATCAAGTAATTATATGCCGCCTCATCACTTCCTCGAATTATATTCATTACAGCCTCAAACCCCCGAACATCCATAGCACAACCGGCCTGCCAAAACAAATTTTTTAATTCCTTGTTCTTAAACTTGGTCATCAAATTTGGCCACAAATGTCGGAGGCAGTATCGACGCTGGACCCGCGGCTCGGCCAGTTCAGGTACTTCCCGAAATGCATGGTCGATGCCACCATGCCTATCCGAGATAATACAAATGTGTTGCAAATCGCCAAAAACATTTTGAGCCACCAATCTCAGGAACCAACTCCAACTATCTCCTGTTTTAGCGTCAACAATTGAGTATGCAACTGGATGTATTTCTTTGTTGGCATTTATAGCTACTGCTAATAGAAGGTGTCCTTTGTACTTTCCGTACAAATGCGTCCCATCGACCGTAAAACAGTATTTAAACCCTTCAATTGCAGGTTTGAATGCCCAAAACACATACTTAAATCGGAACTCATTCGGGATTCCCATTTTCGTGTACACAGTATCAACAACAGAATCTGGATTTGTTTGCTGTATGGCCATTAACGTTTGTGGCAATATGTTGTAGGACTCATCCCACTTTCCATACAGCGTCTCCAACCCGATGACCTCTGCGTACCAAGCCTTCTTGTAATCAACACGAATACCCCATTTTGCCTTGACATCTTCGATGACGTATTTAATTTTGTATCGCGAATCATTTGCAATTATTTGCAAAATTAGTTCCGAAATCACTTTACTGGTAAGGTTGTAGTCATCTTCGCCCTCCGTATAATCCACATGGCATCCGTGGATATTATGAAACTTTTTAACTCTCCATCCATCGGAATCTGGAATCTGCGCAGCACTTATCATCCATGCACACTGTTGGGGATATAAACAGGTAGCCTTCCAATATTTGCTCTTCTTGGTCGCCGTTTTAAACTGCGTATGTTGGTCAAGATTGTGTTGTGTCACCATATTCTTTAACTGTCGGTAGCTGACGAACACCATTCCAACTCCAATGGACGAACTTGCAGTTTGAAAAGCATTCCCGTATGTTGTATAATCATTGTACCAATCTGGATCATGTGCTTGCCGACGAGCTCCCGTATCATGTATGGACGTGTTGGCGGACGATTCAACCTCTTCAACGGGCTCATAATCAGGGTCGTCATCATCATCGGAAGGAAACAAACATTCATCCCCACTTGTGTTTGTTTCTTCGTCTAAAATGGCACTATTTGCGTCACAAATAAGATGATCCATTGGTACTATCTGTATGTGCTCTGCTTGCGTGCTTTGTCGTGACCGATCAACACTACGCCTTCGTGTTTCACATGTTCTAATTAGCGTGCGGTCAACGCTAGTACCCCCTTGAACAATGTTCAGATTCAATGTTGAATGGAAAGGCAGTTGAAGTTTCACAAAAACCACTAGCGCCCCAAACGTGGACATAGCCCCCAAAAAATATGACCACGTGTGATTATCGGTTATTGGAAATGGATAAACTACATCACCCAGAGATTGATTTGGCTGAAATTTTCCCCATAACAATATCTCACCAACATTGTCTCTAATTTGAAGACAATTCTTTATCTCGAACACTAACTGTTCGAACGAACATGTTGCAGAGACGAGCACGACATTTTAGGGAGCAATGTTGAAATCCACATCATCTCTATGACCTTCATGTTCGGGATGACGACATATCAACACAACCACCTAGTTACCTATAGAAA